AGGCAACATGCAAAAACGCACCTGAGTAAGCATGACTACCTAAGCCTAACAGGGTATACCTCAACCAACATAGCTAGCTATGCATCCTACTGTATATACGCTCCTTAACCGTCGACTATGAGACTCAAGCTCAGATCGCGGTACCATAATTATATATATAAAGTCCGATCCTATCCAACCATAAGAAATCCAATTAGTCGTTCAGCTTATTCAGTCGCACAAACTAACATAAATTAAGCGTATTTACATCCCATCCAAATACAATGTTGAGCCAGTCAACTATTCGTCGCCAAAACACAACATGTAATTAGGATTTAAATGTTTTAATTAAATCCCTATCCTTCCTATTAACAAAAAATATAAATAACCATCCAAAATGTCGATCAACTGTTTTAGTTGACAGGACATGAAACCATGTAGGATTCACCTGTTTTAGTTAATCCATTCCGTATGTATGAATGGGTTGGAATTAGCGTTTTGATCTAATCCGTCCCTTCGTATGTCACCGTCCCATACCGGTACATACCATGCACATGATCCGTAAATGATGCATTAACTCAATCAGTACACCAAATACAGTCCACATAAATCCATGTAGCTGATAAAACAAAATTGGAACAGTTTATCAACTAAATATCCATGACAAAATCCATGAAATTGATGAGACAAAACTTAATCGTTCGTCAACTTAAAATCCAGAATCCATTCATATAATTGACAGAAAATATGCAATTAATTCTTCAATTAAGTCCAGGTTAACTCCTATGTAAATTACAAAACTTATGTTTTAGTTTAGCAATTTAAGTCCAAAACCATCATCCAGTTGAAAACCATCATCCAATTAATTGTAGAAAAGTGTATCTAATAATTCAGCAATTTAAAGCAAACCTTTTACTCATGTAATTGCAGGAAAATTAATGTTTCAGCAATATAAAAATCCAAAGCATGCACAGGTCCAATCTGTTAACTAAAAGACTCTATTGTGCATCTAAAACAAAAATTAGAAACATGTTATAACTCATTAAATTGCTATATTAGAACAAGCAAGTAATTTCCTATCCTTAATCTACATAATTGCAGAACGGGTTTATTAATTCAGCAATTAAATTCCCAAGTGTGCACAGATCAAATTTATTAATTAAATGACCCTAACGTGCATTTAAAACAAGATTAAAATCATGTTATAATTACTTAAGTTACCCATTTAAAAATTTAACAACTACTTCCCTTCCAACCGTTAACAGTATGTGAATTGTCTAATTTTCACACTGATCATTCCCTTCCTATAATAGGCTAACTTATGTAATTAGAGAGCTTAAGATCTCTTGAAATTACTTTTAAAATTGTTAGTTCACTCCCTAAAACAATTTAGAACTCCAAACATAGCCCAAACAGTTCCCGGATAGCTCCAGATTGCAACCAAACGTAACCTAACCAAAGAGCCTTCTCTTGAAAATCATAGAGCAGGCTCTTTACACCATAGAGCCTGCTCTACAAAAACTTAGAGCCTGCTTTAGAAACTTAGAGCCTGCTCCATAAAATCTTAGAGCCTGCTCTTGAAACTTAGAGCCTGCTCTTAAAGGCTTAGAGCCTCCTCTGTCCAGTTTTGCTCCGTTTCGCCTTTCAGCTTCGTCTCCGGCTATGCCCAACCATCTGTTCATCTTTAATACTGAGTTTAAGAATCCTATTTACACCCAAAATCATCCCCATGACTGGTTTTATAATCCGTTCAATCACTGAATTAAATTACGCAAGTTAACTTTCCTCTAACCATTAACAGTACTGAAAAGTTATCTGCTTTCCTACTGTTTAACACTTTAGCATAAATGTATAAACTATGCAATAAAAGGTTTAAATACACTTGAAGTTTAAATTAAGAACCCCAAGTGCCCTCACAACACAATTCGAAAGAATTAAAATCATCCAAACGGTGCCCAAAAACTCAGAAAACACTAAAATACGTCAAAATAGGAGAGAACCTGCTTTAAAATGCAAGAGCAGGCTCTTGCAAGCATGGAGCCGGCTCCATGCCTTCTTGGAGCCGGCTCTTGAATGATGGGAGCCGGCTCTTCAATCCCCAGAGCCGGCTCTTCATCCTTCTGAGCCTCTGTTCTCCTCCAGCTACGTTTTTTCGACCATCTGCTTCAGCACCGGCCACTTCCACTCCCTTTGTTGGTTTTTAAAATTGTTCAAAGGAGTCCTAAGTATATCTAAAACATCCCAAATCCTTACTTAAGTCAATTTGCATGAAATTAAAACTTAAAACATTTACCGATCCAACATGCTTAGAAAGAGCAAGCAATGCAACCAAACCAAACTTGCATGAACTGTAACAAAATTAATTCACGCCTACATACAAATAATTGATTAAACAAATACTAAGCATCTAAGATTCAATTTATTAGTCCATTAAAGCCCTAGAGACTATCTACAGATGCACAGAACACAGGCAACGGGAGAGAGAAAGGAAAGAACTTGCCTTTGCGGTTTTGGAATCAAAACCTTGTCGCCGTCTTCCTAGGTTTTTTTCCGGCGATCATTACTGCCGTCAAGCCTCCTATTGCTCAACCTTCCCTTCTCCTATGACCAATCCTTTATCCATAGTTGAAACCCTCACCAAAGATGGTCTGTTATTGTCTCACAATTTACGCTCTGTTCCTCTCTATCTCTCTGGTACGTGAAAAGGGTTTACATATATTTTTTTTTAAACCCTAAGTCAACATAATGATATATTTATAGGTTTAGAAAAACTAAAACCCTAATTCTAATTTTAATCCGAGAAAGAAAAAAAAACTATAAAAGTTATAATGTAAGTCGGCTAATAACGTGAGAATATATGTAACCCTAAAATTATAACCTATATTAAATTATGATTAATACCTCAAGTTTAATTATTAATAAATACCAATAATTAAAACTAACTCTATATACATATATACCCATATATATACTTGTATATACTTCCATGGATAAAACAGTACCCATTTACACTATCCAAATAGTCCGTTAATCATATCCAAGCCTAAGTTCGATTAAAAATAAAATAAAATAAAAACAATACATTTAATTTAACATTCAAATGCCACTTCATCACGCACACTTATAATTAAATAGTTAGTTCATTTAAACAACAAAACAAGAAGCCACGTAACAAAAGTCATGAAAACACCTAAGAATAATAAAATAAAAAATAAAATTCCAATTATTTCCTTTTTAAATTTAGGGGTATTACACCCTCGTCCTCCGCGAGCTCCCGCCCATGATCTGCGGGCGCCCGCCCAATCATCCAGTGAGCCAGTCCTCCACGAGCGCCTGCCCAAGATCTGCGGGCGCCTGCCCAATCGGCCAGTCTCCTTATCATTCGTGGGCACCCGCCTAAGCTTCACGAGCGCCCGCCCAATAGCCGCGGGCGCCCGCCGATCTGCAGATAGCAGATCAACCACTCCATGGATTTGCTGAATGTTATCCCCTTTGACCCCATTGTATGGTTCTGTTGCTTCTAGGGATTTTGGACCACGAAATTGGAGTGGTTAGGAGGCTAAACTTGATATATTAAGGGCTTAAGGCTTTGTAAAAGAGATATCTCGTATTTTTGTAAGGCTAGAGAGAGAAATATTGTAAGGTTAGAGGGTTTGTGTGTTCTTGACCCTTATGGTGCGAAAATGGAAGGCCTCATCCTCTTTTCTCCTTCCTCCATTGCTCCTATGGGTAACTAACTCCCTATCTAGGGAGGTGATAAAGCCCTACTTTGTAAGCATGCCTTAGTTTTGGTTTAAATTTGGGGTAATGATGTATATATATGGTTTTTCCATGATCTAGAGCACTTTACATGTTGTAATGAACTTCAATGTCTATAAATGATCATTTTGAATTAATTATCTTGTCTTAGATTGTTTCCTTTCATGATTATATTGCTTTCATTTTCATAGTGACAATTGAAGTGAGATTGTGGAAGTGTTTTTATTGGCATATTTTATAAGAACTTGTTAGTCCATAGCTTAGGGCCTCCCTTTGATGGATTAATCTTGAATCTTGATTTCATATGCTTTTATCATTTAATTGAGGGCTTGATAATCTATAGTTTAGTGAACATGTCTAAGGCTACACCTTAGTTTAGGTAGTTTATGCATGTGAAACTTTGATAGGTTATTCTTATCTTTTGATTTCATGAATCTCTTGAATGTAATGTAGCAATTTTATGTTGTTGCATTCTATGGTCATATTTATATGTTGTTTCCCTAAGTAAATCATGTTCTAGCATGTTTATAGGTAGGTAGTGGATTCAGTTCTCTAGTCCTCTCTATTTAGATTTTCCTCTTCTTAATTCCTTTAATTTGTTGCCTATGCACATTTCATTTCTAGTTATTAAGTGACAAATCCAACAAACTCTATACCCATTTCATCAAATTAAAAGTGAATTTAAAGACATTGGCTGCCATAAACTAGCAATCCCAGTGGTTTGACTTACCCGTCCAATAGCCCTATTTTACAATGATTTGTGCTATTGCAAAGAGTTGATTATTATTGATAGTCGACGAGACCAATCAACCACCCACTCTGTCTGTATAAAGATATAACCCAAGCCTTCTCGCGAAGCATCACAAAAAATCACGTAACTCAAACCATGTTCAGGAATGATTAAAACTGGAGCCGTTGTCAACCTGACCTTCAACTCCTGAAAAGCAAACTCACAGGCTTTGATCTATATGAACTTGACCCCCTTGCAGGTAAGTCAAGTCATAGGCGCCACTAAACGAGAGAAATTCTGAACAAATCTCTGGTAATAGCCAGCTAGGCTAAGAAAACTTTAAATCTCAAACACTGTCTTTGAACGCTCCCAATCCATCACTGACTCAATCTTCGATGGATCCACTGCAACACCGCCCCTTGAAACAACATGTCCAAGGAACTTCACTTTCGGTAGCCAAAATTTGCACTTTTTGAACTTGGTGTACAACTTATTATCCTTAAGGATCTGCAACACTGTCCTCAAATGATACTCATGCTCTTCCACCGATGCTGAGTATACGAGAATGTTGTTAACAAAGACCATAATGAACTGATCAAGATGGTCACTGAATACACAGTTCATCAAATCCATGAAAGCTGCTGGAGCATTGGTCAAACCAAATGGCATCACCAGAAACTTATAATGGCCATACCGTGTGCGAAAAGCAGTCTTGAATATATCATCATCTTTAACCCTCAACTGATAGTAACCTGATCTCAAATCAATCTTTGAAAAATAAGTAGTTCTCGTCAACTGATCAAACAAGTCATCAATCCTAGGCAAGGGATACCTATTCTTGATCATGACATGGTTTAGCTTACGATAATCGATCCAAAGTCTCAAAGACCTATCCTTCTTCTTCGCAAAAAGAATCGGTGCTCCCCAGGGTGAAGCACTAGGACGAATAAAACCCTTAGCTTTCAAATCATCTAATTGAGCTTTATGTTCATCAAGCTTTGCCGGTGCCATACGGTACGGTGCCATAGAGATCAGTGCAGTACCAAGAATAACATCAATGGCAAAGACGACCTCTCGAAGAAGAGGAAGCTCCGTTAACTCCTCCGGAAAAACATCCAGAAACTCCACAACAACTGTTGGGTAAATGCGGCCCAAACTACTATCCTCGTTAGCTAACAGGCTAGCCAAGTAGGACATGTGGCGACTCCAGTCACCATTGCTAAAAATCATCATCGAGTGGGAATTGCTCTGATCTCCCACAAAGTGAAAATAATCTCCCTTGGGAGTATAAACAGACAACCTCCCACGGAAGCGATCGATCGTAGCACGAAAGAAGGATAACCAATCCATCCTGGGAATAATGTCAAAGCCCATCATGTCAAAAATAACAAAATCAAAATCTAATGTCCGTCCAGCTATCTGGATAGCGTAACCCTGACAAATATGGTCCAAAAACACTGGACCCCCAACTAGTGTGTCAACACAAAGGAAACCATCCCGCTGCGTGACCTCTAGACCCAAAGAATGTGTAAATAAAGCAGATATGAATGAATGTGATGCACCTGTGTCAATAAGTACTCTAGCCCAAGAACTAAAAACTGGAAAGATACCTCGAACTGTAGAAGTTCCTGTGGAGGTATCGGCCTGTGGCAATGTGTAAGCTTGTCCCTGAGCCCTTGACTACTGAGAACTGCCCTGGTGGCCCAACTGATGTCCGAAAGCAGTAGGCATAGAACCCCTACCCTGATAAGAACCAACTGATGGTGTGACTGGCTGTGGTGCCTGAGGCACCCTGAAACCTGGCTGAACAACTGCAGACTATGCTGGTGTGGCCTCTGAACCAGTGCCACCCTGTGCTCTATTCTGTAGGCGTGGACACTCCCTCTTGAAATGTTCGAGCTGCTTACAGTAATTACAAGCTCCCTGGAGCCCTGCGTCGAAGCTCCTGTTTGTGAACGACTGCTCTAAGGTTGCAACTGTAGGCAGCGAGGCTTGATGTGCCCCGGCTATTGACAGTGGTGACAAATCAAATTCTTTAAAGGAATAGAAACTATGGGTACAGACCAAGCCTACTGTGACTGTCCTTGAACACGAGAACTGTCCCCGGCCTTAGCCTTCTTCCATTGAACCCCAACAGATACCGATGAAGCCTCTCCACGAGACTGATTATATGAGCCCTTAATGCTGAGCTGATCTTGATCCTCTGCCTCAACCAACATAGCTTTCTGGACCACCTCTCCGTAGGTCCTCAAATCCAATACTGAAATCCGTGGCCTAAAATCAAGATGTAATCCATCCTGAAACTTTCTTGCCCTGAGCTCATCGGTAGCTAGTATATCCGGTGCATAACGGGGAAAAGAAGTGAAATGTGTCTCATACTCAAGGACACTCATCCTTCCCTCATAGAGACCTGTAAACTGTATTCTCATGTCCTGCCTTATAGCCCTCGAAAAGAAGCGGTCAAAGAATAATGTCCTGAACTCCTCCCATGTCATCACCTCTACATCGTGGATATTGGTCATGGACCTTCACCAGATATCGGCATCTCCCATGACTATAGAGGCTGTCAAGGAGATCCTCAATCGGTCTGTAGGTATTGCCATGCTATCGAGCTTACGTACCATGAGATTAAACTAAGCCTCTGATTCAAGCGGATCCATACTCCTTGTAAACTGGTCAATCTTACCCCACTATAACTTCATGAAGTAGTCCAATGCCATATTAGCAATTGGTGCCGGTGCCGGTGCTGGTGCCGGTACTAGAATTTACATCCCTGTAATATGCTGACGAAACATCTGACATCCCAGAGCCACTCCCTGTGCAATCTGCTCCTCATAAGTCGGCGCTCGTGGTGGATTAGGATCCACACCATAATGTCGAACCTTGGGCGTCCCTGGACCCCGTGTGAGCCCGGTGTCCTCAACCTGCTCATCCACTCCGTCGTGACGAGAAGACTCTCCACGAGTCAAAACCATGATGCTAAATGCACGAAAGGAAAGAGGTCAATAATAACACAAGTTATTATGACCGAATGCAACTTATGCTATGAATGTAAGCAACAAAAAACATGTCAATGTATGCAACATACCATCATGCTAAAGCAGATAAACTTACAACATGTTAAAACAGATACTGAAAACTTCTAGGTACTTAAGCACGTAAGCACGTAGACAGGTTATCAAACTAAGCACGTAAACATGCTATAATACCGAAATAAGTTAACAAGTAGCAAGCAAACATATCAAAGAAAATCAACATAAGCATGATGTGCACCCAAAACCCGTCATCCTAAGGTATTCAAACTTAGGAGCTCTGATACCACTTGTAATGACCCGAGTTTTATTCAACCCGGTGCGTCAATGATGACCCGAAAGTTGATCCTATAACTGATCTGAAATGCGGAAGTGAAAGATAAACCAAGTTCTCTAGAGATATAAATCATCCCTAAGAAAATAATGTGACCTTCCATGAAGTCACGGGACTTAAAGAAAGCGTAATAGCAAGCGAAAGTCAAAACGGGCAAAAATTCATTAATTAAGGGCAAAATGGTCAATTTATAAGGAGGAAAATTTGACCCCAAGCAAGTCAAATGTAGTCTAAAGAACCTAAACTAATCATTTCACAACATTCCAAGAGGTTCTAAGAATTTTAGACAAAAATCCCACAAAACGCCCTCTCCTGGTTTAAGCGAAAACAGACACCCTCTCACTAAAACATGAATAACTCTCACTACGATTTGAATCTGAGAATGGCATTGGTATCATTGGAAAGCTGACTCAAAATATTTTAGGCTTAAGAATCACCCCATTTCGATTAGAAATGAAGAAGTTATGGCCGTTTGAAGTTAAAACAACAGTGTTGATACAAAACTGAAGGCTGTTGTGTATGGGTGCTATTTCGGTCGACCGAAATGGAGTTTTGGACAACTGAATTGGACATAAATTTTGCTGAAAACATGTTTTTGAGGGAAGGTCACTTTGGTAGACCGAAATAGGCCATCGGTCGACCGAAATGGACCCAAACGGCAAAAATGGATACTGAAATGGGTGATTTACTGTGCATTGAAGTTTCCAAAAGCCATTGGTCGACCGAAAGTTTAAAACCTATGCTTCAAATCCCCTCATGGATTGGTTCAAAAATGAAAGTTTAAAACTGATTTTGAATGAGATTTGAGTATGTGAACATGTCAACAACCTTAATAAGGATAATTGAATGTATTACAACAACTCATGACCTTATACATGCTAATTTTAAGAATTTCATATGCCAAACCTCCAAGTTAGTTAAAATACGCTTTTGAAGTAAAATATAGTGCCAAATGAGTACAATTACTAAAGTAAACATGCTTGGCCCTTGGCCTTATTACGCACACATCCAAAGAGTATCAAAAGGTGCACTTAAGTGCACATTACATAGTTTGAACAACAAATACATATTTTGACATAATAACCAAAAATGGAATATGATATGCTAACAAGTGCATATTCTAATATAATAAAAATACTCCAAGAAATCAAACAAGCCTAAGATTGTTGTGCATCCCACAATAATGTTTCTTTACCTGAAAAACACCCGGTAACTTTGGGGTGAGTAAACAAGTTTACTCGTAAAGAATGAGCATGCATAAACCTACTTATACAACTTTGCAATTCAATGTAAATTAATACAAACTACTTAACCAACATTGGAACTCCCAACACAACGCAATAAGATATAACTCACAAGGTTATCAACTTGGAATTTAAATGCAAACTCAAACAAAAGTGGATACTTGGACATCACGCCAGATCAAATGAACACCATAGTTACTTTAGGGTTACTAGCCCATAGGTAACCTCCTTATGTACGCACTAGACTTGTAGAGGGATAATCCCCCGTACTAGAAGTATGCCCTAGCCTTAGTCATAACAACGACATCCTAAGTTTCCAAAATCAACAGTTTGTGCAACAACATATATGCATTAACATAACATATATATACAATGCAAAACCATTCACCATGCACAAACCAATTTTGGAAACACAATACATACTCTACTTCACAACTACAATGGCATGCAAATTGTTGAATAATCATTATGCAACTTATCATATTTCACAACAATTTCATTTAATAATAGGAACATAGTCTCACAAGTATGTCACAAGTTTAAAATCAAGACTTAGACATGTAATCAACAATGAATTCATACTCAACTCATTAACACAACAAGGATAGAAATTAATTTAATAAAACAACTACTTTCTCTAGATTTCATTTCTCATCTAAATACCCTCAATTTAATATATGTTAAAGAACCTATCATGATCATTACATATATCCCTTCAAAACTCAATTTAAATCATGGAAACATATAAATAAAAATTAATTAAATTAATTGACTAATGTCTCTAGATTTCAAAACAACCTTATATAACTTCAAATTAAGATAAGTTATGAATCAAATCATGGCCTTTCCAAAAAATCAAGTCCTAGCTTAATTTCATGTAGGGTACCATTAGTTATTAACTTAAAATCTTAGATTAAATACATGTAATACCTATGAACCATATTATAAAGCATATAAAACATCAAAATCATAACTTAGAACACCCCCTACGTCACAAGAAGATTGTTCCTCTTGAAACCAAGGAAAGCAAAGGAATTTCAAGTTTTCCTTCTAGGGTTAAGTAAAGGAGAGTGAGAGGAAGCAAAAGTATTCCCAAGTTTTAAGTTTAAAGTGAGTGAAAGGAGGCCAAAATGAAGCTTAAAGCTTTAAACCAAGCTTTACTTCAATAGTGGCTAGGTTAGGGTTCTTGAGAGGAAAGAGATGAATTAAATAAAATGTGAAAACCCTAAGTTAAAAGTGGTGGAATCCTCCACTCACTAGGTACTCTTGCATTACCTCACACACACACACAATGCAAGACTTAATTTCATGCCTACACTTGTCACAAATCCAAGGCTCTTTCCTAGGCTTAATCCTAAGCCTACACTTTTCTAAGCCAACAAGTGGTCCAATCCTAGGCCAATAAATGGGTGAATCTCCACCCTCCATGTGTCAAGAGATTATGCCTCCAAGTCTCCCCACCCCAATGCCAACAAGTGGCACTATGAGAATGTGACACTTGTCACATTTTCCAAAAATTACAAAAAGGTCCTTTTTAAAAATATCTTCCAAATTAAATTACAAAATGGTCCCTAAGACGAAAAATAATTACTTTTCATAATTACACTAAAACCCCAAAAGCCAAGAATATTTCCAAAAAGTTATGCATTCATGCCCTTTACAAAAAAAGTAAACATCTAGCATGCTTTTCTACAAAAGTAAAAATGTAGATATCATGGAAATTTAATATCATGGATGTATACGAAGTCGGAATCAAATCCGAGAACAAAAAATGAGGTTATGCAAGGAAAAATGATAAACAAGAAAAAAACCAAATAGGGAAAAAGACGAAAAAAGAAAATTACCGAAAAAAGAAAAGGAGGAAAATAACCTGGTCATTACATTCTAATTATACTAAATTGTTATATTTATTTGTTTTTACAATTTAGATTTCAAGTTGATAACTTTGAGAATCTATATCTTGTTGCTTTGCATAGCATGCCCTTGTGTTGTTTGGAATTGCATGAATGAAGTGATTATGTTATAAATGATCTAAGGTAGCTTAGGATATTCTTTGACATAAACGTTAGGTGGCATGAGCCCTCTTAAATTGTTTCACCTTAAGGTGATAACTTGTAAAATGCTAAGTCTATGCATGCTCATCTCCTACGAGTAGCTTTATGTTACTCATCCCAAAGTTACCGAGGCATTTTTCAGGTATGAAGACTTGGTTCGTAATGTTCATCATTGCTTGGATGACTTGTAGCTTTGAAGTTTCCATTTCATGCAAATGTTAGCATGAAATGTCATTTTGTAGCCTTATATGTCAAAAATGTGTATTTTTTATTTTAAACATGTAATGTGTACATAAGTACACTCTTTGCATTGTATTTGACATGTACAAGATGAAGCCATAGGCCAATGATATTTAATTTGCATTCTTTGCATTTTCACTTTCAAGGTTTATTATGGAAATATTGAAAAATGTCAAGTCATTGTTTCACCATGTTTGCATCGGGTGTGGGAATTTCATTTTTATTCTTTCATAGGGTCTCATTAATCATGTATAAAGTGTAGCCAAGGGCCAAATGATAATTTGAAACCATTTTATGATTTTAAGTTTCAAAATTTCATTTTCATGTGCTTTTCGCCTTTTTAGCCGTCGGGGGGTTGGATTTTGCATCGGCGGTTTTTTTAAGCCGTGGACCATTGTAGCATGTCCCAATAGGTAAGTTACGTCTATATGCATGGTCGTTTCCGGGAAAAACTATTTCGTTGGTGAAATGAGCCTCTTATGGACTCATTTCACACTTTTCTTGCATAAATATAGCTTAAAGGCATTTTGGGATTTTCCTTAGGGAAATAAATTCCTGTATCAACTCCGTCACACAGAAAATGTGATTTTGGGGGGATTTTTTTCACGGCATTTTTCT